CCCAGCGGGTGGTAAATCAGCATTATGACTGATGAAGATGTTATTCAGATTGTTACCAAGAAATAGACAATTACCATTAGAATCTGTTATAACCATTTATTGTTAAGGATATCATGATGTTGCATATTTTGGCAGTTTTGAAATGTTTTGATCTTTAATTATTAATAAAAAAGGAATTGGGATATTAGTTATTTGTGTCATTCTTTTTTATATTATTTAATTTTCATTATCTTTCTTGATTTATTATATAATTACATTATTTTTGTTTCCTTGTGATGGAATTGACAAAATTATGGTTTAAGAAGCAATTTGTAACATTGGTTATTACGTACTTCATTGCCATCATCACCCTCATTATCATATCATCTTAATCATTTGTGACAATTACAATACATGGTTCCCACAAGGAAAATGTATCTGTTCACTGTTATTAAATCCAATCAGCTGTTTGCAAAAAGAAGTGATCAACGCACAGGATAATCTTGGCTTCGTGTATTCATTATTTTTCTAAAAAACAATAATAAGAATAGGAAGGAACAACAGTGGAATACAACAGCTTTACAGGTTTGTTTATAAAAAAAAAAAAAAAATGATGCTAGTAAGTTATGTGGGCCTTTTAGTTCCCAGGAGAGATCCAGGGTTTTTCCTCATAGTGAGAATAACGGAAGCAGCTCCAAAGAAGGACGCAAGGAAATCTAATAGTCAGTTTTCTTTCCTTCCTCGCCATTAAAGACTGTATCTAAATCTCAGTGTCTTGTTTTTGTATACACATTTTATATCCTCCTTTCATGCGCAGAAATTAAGTAGCGTGTTTTGTCATGTCATTGATGAAATGGGAGTTTTATCTGTGATAAGGAAGAATTGCTGAAAGATTTTTTTCCACTACCATGCAGATACTTATTCTAGTAAAGAAAATGAGACTGCCATTTTCCATAATGTTTGATTAAAGTTAGTCAGTGTATGCAGAGAAACATAAAGACTATTGCTCACTGACCTGTTGTTGCTGGAGATGATATGTACATAGATGCCATGTCTACTGTGATTTTAGTCGGTGCTTAGTCACCAATTCGTCAGTTACTAGTCTTATCTATCTCACCTGTTTACCCATTTCCTTGAATTATGCCTATGTTACTTTTTTGTTTCTTCTGTCAATATTGATAAACATTGAAGTAATCCTTATGTCATTAATAATAACAGTATATTAATAGTTTATAAAACATTGAATTTTTTTCCAAACTTCAAGGAAAGGGAAAATCATGTTATTTCATGTAGGCCTACTGCCTACTGATTGATGTTTATCTGAGCACTTGAAGTCATCAGTTTGTAAAGGCAGTCTACAAAACAAAGCTACAATGTACATTGCATGATACTGGCAGTAATGGGTAAAATATTGAAGCTTATTAGAGACTACCATGTGCAAATAGGAATGGCAAATGACAGAAGCTGTTTTTCTTTTTATTAAAAAGTAATTACATGAAATAAACAAATAAATGACTTGATTGTCGTGAATTAACATTGATAGCAACAGAAGTTAAATTATGCAAAAGTAGGTATACTCTCTTTGCCTACTTATAAAAGACATTTGATGTTGCTTCCACCCTCTATGGAAGACTTCAAAAGTCAGTGATAATGTTATATTGAAATCTAAACAGTTCTCCAGACAACTAAGGGAAAAGGTTTTCATAAAAAAGCAAAGGTGTTTATTTCACGTTAAATAGCATGAGTTCCCAAGAACTCTGAAGAAAATGCTTTTACGTAAAAAATAGGTTCTTGGTTAAGGTCATTTACTTCCCCTAAGTAAATAATGCCTTTGTAAAGTTTTATATTCCTTCACTATAGTATTTTGCTTGAGAACTGCCACACACGAAAAATTTTTGAAACTCAAAAATTATATATATATGCATGACCATTATGTTTTCATATTTATTAATTATTGTGACTGAAATAGTTTTCTATGGAATGGAAACTACACAATAAAAAAAATCTTTCTTTGAGTGCTCTTTTTTACCCATATTTTACCTGGATGGTGATAACTTGTTCATGAAAATGTTCTTTATTCTATCTTTGGCAATGTGAAGATGCACTTACAGGTTGCTAATGACTGGCTGAATGCAACATGGCCAACTAACATTGTTTCTAGTAGTTATGATCACTAGAAGAAAAGATTTACTGCCTTATCAGTAACTATGGGAAAGGACGTAGTAAGAAAAAACCTCATTCTTTTTAACAAATTAATTCATTTCCAAATTACAGTTTCACTTACTGATATTCTTGCATTCTCAATCAATAAAAACAATAATACTAAATTTAAGAACAAACTGACAATCAAAGTTTATTAAAGCTTGCTCAAAAATTAACAGATACACCCAGAAAAGAAATTGAAATAATGTGTGAGACTGAGCAACATAAAATTATAAACCTTGTCACCATAGCCACCAGTGATTGCCTGAATAAACAATTTCTTTGGTATAGCATAAAATTCATTTGATTCTGCTCACGGAACGCCATCTGAACTAAATAATGAAAATACATATAATCAACTGACTTCTGTATTGTTAAAAAATGACTAGTGCCACTACATTTACATACTCTGATGAAAAACAGACATGAGCAAGAGTGTATAATGCAAGAGATTGGAATCAGTGCAAAAGTCAGTAAATCTACGTATAATCAAGTAATGTCAAAGATGAATAGTGGAATCAGTGAAAGTAACATTGTTTTTCATAACTGTTCTCATGTTCAACTGCATTTGTTTATAAAATGCAAATGGTAAACAATTTCCTTTCTCCTCTTCTTAGGCTACTTATATTATTGAAACTTTTCAGGTTTTATATAAATATAATTTTTTTTGCCTTCTCTATATACTAAAATATAACTGGCACCTTTCAGAAACAC